GTGAATTACCATTTCTCTAGTTGGTATTATGTTGCCTAGCCATTTATGAATGAAAAAATAATCTTTATATAATGAACATACGTACTAGTAGTAAAATAACTCGTAAAATATTCTATCTAAGCAATGATTTAAACTTTGGTGAGATTATTAATTTACCATAAACATACTATAAACATGTTACACAAAAGGATATGTTTAAACTTAAAACCACAGTTACAAAGCTGTTTACATGGCTGTTTAAGGCCAGTTTGATGACATATATAATTACTATTAATGACAATTACATAAGACAGATAAGTAAATAAGTTACACAGATATAAATATTGTGCCATGTTCAGTCCCACTGCCGAGTCACTTCTCACAACAGTTGGACCATACACTGACATTTTAAGGGATATGCTAAGAGTTACCAAGCAGAGCAACCACTTCACTTCTTTTCTTGAATGATTTGATTATAAAGTTGGAGAGGGACACTAAAGTATCTTTGTTGGCACTGTTAAATACATGGCATAATTGACTGTCTGGTGACCTTGTATCAGCTTTTAGGATTGAGGTTTTTCTAGGTAGAATTGAGCATGTGCAGAATGCGCATGTGCGTAAATAAGCTCTGGAGATAGTTGTCGCCATAAAATCTCGTTTGACTACGCCAAACTTTTCTTTGTGGCCGCGTTTGCCTCGAGTGCAATGAACTCTTCTTAATGTAATTTATCTTATATAATGAGTTACACTCGATTGATCTAAAGTGCCAAGCACATATCTACTTATTGTATTATTATTATATCTGAAATAATACGGAAAAAATATAATCTAATAAGATATCAAGTAAAAATGCTGTCTAAGAACAGGGGCGGGTTTAAGAGGGGTGTCAGTCGGGTCCTGACCCCCCTTCAATTTTTGAAAAAAATTCACACCAATGGTCCCCACTTGAAATTGGAATTTTGACTTGCTGAATCATAGTTCTAAACAGTACCGAAAGGCACCGTTCGCCCTCTAAAATACCGAGCCCCACGCCACGGGGGCCTGTCAAAGCATCTGCGGCCTGTAAGTCCTTAAAACCGGACCCCCCTTAAAATAATCCTGGACCCGCTCCTGAAGAATATACATTGTGGCTTTTTTTTTTTATTAACCCTCAAGTGACCGAGTGGGGTCATTTAATGTGCCATCTCTTGATTTTTTATTCGAATTTTCTTTCCTTGCATGAGTTTGTTAGTCTGATAACCCTACACACTTTCACAGTTTTTTATAGGGATCAACCAATTAGTGTGGCGTATACATCACAAAATCTTGTGGGGTCATTTATGACCCCAAAGAGAAGCATTGGTTTTAAAATATTAGTTTTTAAATTTTATTCAAAGTTTTGCCCACGCAACACTGACAGGAAAATGTCACATGCATGTGCTTCATGCAACCAGCCAGTTGTCCCAAAACATAGGCACAAATAAGTGGTTTGTGAAGATTGTGCTTGAAGTGATACTAATAGTGCATCGCTGATTCTAATTTCAGTAGCTTTGTTGGAACTTCTTCTCATAACTGGGTCTCTCATTTTGACGGTTACAATTTTCGGATATTTCGAAAATGTAAAGAATTATGTTGATATCATATTATACATATATTAACAAATTGTTTGTGTGGATTTTGTTTTATACACAGATGTGGTAGTAACATACACGTAGGTTAATTGAATGTGTTCTGAGTAGTATGACTTCCTTACCAGCATTAGGGTATTCCCTACTCAGCAAGTCAGCTAATTATTCTTATTGAAGTTAGCAGGATGCTATCTCATCATAAGTCAAATTATTTTTATTCAAAGTAATTTTGTAATGTACTTTTTTCATTTAGTGTGGCAAATAAAAAAGATAAATATTTCTGCAAGTGGAAACTGACAAGGACTGTCTAAATACCGGTGTAATGTTGTTCTTAAAATCTGTGCTTGGTTATTTCATGCAATAAAAGTATTTTTACCATATACTTATTACATTAGATCATTATAAAGTGTTTGTCTTAAATCCTGGGAGTAGTATATGTGTGATAAACCCTCAACAGCCTTTGATAATAAGGATCCCTGTACAGAGCACAATGGGGTCATAGATGACCCCACTTGGTCATTTCAGTCAGTAAAATAGCTTGGTCTCTTGAAGGTTAAGTATTAACATCGAACACAACGCAACAGGTTACGGTATGCACCATCTCGGTTTGGTTAGATTATTGTCCCTCGCCCCCAAATAGGTTAATAAGAGAAAGATAGAAGATAAGAATCGGAGAGAGAATGACGATGCAAAATTGTTGAGTTGTAAGGTTCGATTTAATGTTCACCGATCGAGAAGTAACCAACAAGAGTCTTGGATTTCCAAACACCTTTATTCCTACTGCTTAAGTTCGGGGCCCCACCGCGTCCCTTACAGCGTTACCATGACAGCAGCTACAGTACATAAGAACTTTTCAGAATTCTCTTTTCTCAACAATTTCTTTGAAAAAAACCTTTACAGATTTTGCAAAAAGAGGAAGAACGATTATATTTCCTAGGGGATAATGTTTGGAAATAACAGGAACAAACTGTTACAGATATATTCTTGAAAGACTGCCCCTTGTGACAGGAAAAAACAAAGAAGGAAGTCATGTACAGATGTAGGTGTAAACAATTAAGAATACTTTTCGAGAATTAATTTTACTAGTATTGAATACCATGTACAAAGGAATGTGAAAACACCCTCCCTCCCCCCGTTCAGTGTAGAAAGACACAACAGGGTGGAGCTAGGTGTCATCTTCAAGACAACATTACTTGAAGAAATTCCGGAATGAATGCATAGTGAAACTTCTTTTAATTTTTTAAAAAGATTTTCCGAAAAAGAGGAAAGAAGATTATATTTCCTCAGGGGAAATGTTTTCAAATAACAGGAACAAACTAGACCGTTACAGCTTCTTGAAAGGCCGTCTCTTGTGACAGGAAACAGAATAAAGTCATGTAGTTGAAAGTAATAAAAAACAAATTTCAATAATAAAATTTAGCAGTAATCACTAAGTTTGAAAATTTTTGGAACTTTATAAAGTATATTTTTATTTACTGTCATTCCTTATGTATGCCGAATTAGAATGTACATGTATACACCAGTGATAAGACTGAAAAAAACTAGGCAACTTTTTAGGAGAGAAATTGCTGAACGGTCGAGCAATGTGAGATACGCACGCAACTTTCCACGCACAGCAAACAGCATGGTACAGAAAAAAATAGCAAATAAGATAAAATAATGGGTAAAAACTGAGCTTTAGAAATGGGAATTTTCATAATTGGCCCAAAGGGATGGATTAAGACGACCAAAACCTCAGACGGGGATTTTTTTTTTTTTGTCTCAGCGTCTGCTGTCCCTATCACAATTGACGTTTGTTTATATAACTCTCCAATCAAGCTGTTATTACCTGACGGGATCTGTCAAAACTGAATGATTTGATTGGCACGTTGTCAATCAAATGGTGAAGGAAGTTCACTTCACATGCTCGACAACTGTAGTTATCAACTGTGTAATGATTTTGATTGACGTTTGCTTATAAAACTGTCAATCAAAGTCCTGTGCTTTTGACAGCTTCCGTCAAAATTGAATTAAACCGTATGAGTTTGATTAGCACCTGTCTATCACAACACTTGTTACCTTTAGTTAGTTCATTTAGAACTAAGTACATTTTCCATGCAGCTCTATTCAGTCTCAATTCCTACCAGTCCTGATAGGTACGTCTCGACAGATACGTCTTGACAGATAACGGGACCCGATACTTTCCCATACCTTTCAACCCATGTACCGATAAGTGCACGTGCCGATAGAATAATTAGACTAGAGTCTGCTTTTGAAAATGCTATCTAATGGTGGCACCTTATTTATTTTTAATCAATTAAAATTGTTTCTTGTAATTAAACATCAATTACCATTACCTGAGGGCCATGGGGAAGACAAAAATTTAATTCACTATGTTTTATCCTCAATAACTATTTTTTTATAAATAAATAAATAAAAAACTTCGCTTTGTTATTTATTACAAAAAGCATTATATTTACCCCCGCGACCTTGAATTTTGATACGTATTACGTACAAACATTGGCAGCGTTGCTAGCTCTCAAATGTTACTTCATTCTTCAATAAGACTTGTGCTGTGTGAAAAATAAACATACGGAGACATTTGCTCCCAAATATATACTAAGCTCCATAAAAACATGTAATTTGATCATATAAATTTTGAAAGTTCCCTTTCAGAAAATGTGGCCTTACTTTGAAATACTGGTACAGACTGAAAACATACGTTTTTCAGGCGTCTGGACTGGTAGTTTAATTTGGTGCTTTGCAAAAGTAATCTTCTAAGAGTAGGTAGTTGTAACTGAAGTTTCGTTCGCGAAGGTAATTGAAAAATTTGGCAGTATTGTTCGTACGCTAGTTTTCTCAGCCCCCATACGAGGCTGCCATTAGGTTTTTTCCTTACCTGAGAAAGCCATTATTTACTTCTCAAAATGCATGAAACGTTCATTTTATTTAGCGTGAAGCACCCCTTTCCTGTGACTCGTACATGCAGCTTTTTATTCTCCGTTATTCGTGAAAGAAAGTCGTTATACCCGGTGATTCATGATACGTGATTTTTGACGCGCATTTTCAGTGGAATTTGAATAAAGTTTTAATTACTGCGATTTGTGAATTGATAATTTTATTTCCCGTGAATTGTGATCACCTCGCCCCCCCCCCCCTTCTCCCAATTGTACCCTCTCTAGGATGTATCCTCCTGAGGGAGGTGAGGACATTTACACCTATTCTGAGTCAGTATTAGTTTTTTTATGTTCTTTATAAAACACATCTGTTAAGTCAATCCTGGCTGTGACAGCTCTAGTTAACTAAGCTGTAATCACTCTAGGTCCTAATGAACGCTGTCACTAATTCTAACGTTCTATACAAATCGAGTAAAAAAAAAACGCATCTTGTCTTCTCTAACACAATTGGCTCAGGTGACTTTTTTGGGAGGGGGGGTGAAACATAGCCAAATAATTTGATATCAAACTTAATGGTTGATAAGATGTTATTATTTTTGCCATTATGATGGTAGAAACCCTAAATCACCATCCCGGGATTAGGACCCCTGGCGCCATATCAAATAACAAAAACAAGTTTAAATCGAAACTTGTGTTCAAAAAGCGGGTGACCTGTACATTATTATGTAATACAGGTGAGCATTTCGGTGAGAGGTGTTCAGGTAGGACCAAGGTCAGTAGAAGATGGAGAAGACAGCGGTTCTTGGTACGTTGCTGCAATTTCCACATGTAGGCCAAAAATTTAGCACAGAAAATGACAGGAAGCTGCCGTAGCATTGTATAGATGATATAATATAACGCTGTGTATTTTGTGTAGACAACGTTTGCCCAAATGATGACATTTTAGTCCTTATGACTGTGGGAACATTGCACTTATGTTCAATACACTCTCCATTAGAATTTCAAAATCAGTTCAAAGTTTGAATGCTTTATTTTCTGTAATTTCAGAGAAGGAACGCACTTGCCAATGAGAAAGTGAGACCTGTCTAAAGGTCTGAACAAGTCCTCGACAAGTAAGACGACTGGACAGATATCTACATTCTCTTTGTTTTATTGGCGAGTTAATTGACCTGTTTTCAAAGTATCAAAAATATGTTGTATATGAAATTAAACTTCAAACAAACAAATGCATGTTCAGTAACAAGATGTTGTACTATTGTGTCATTGCATTCCTGGAAACGATGGGACCAGGTTGGGGAGGTGAGGGTGGGAGGGTGGGCGGGGGTACAGTGTCCTTCTCTTAATTTAAGAGGTATCCCTTCTCTCTTCCAAATTAACAAATCAAAACAAGAACAAGAACAAATGAAAAGCGAAAAAATTGTACATGAAACGAAACTAGACGAAATCCAGCTAATGTATCTTCGTATCCTCGCCCCCTCCGCCTGAAAAACCCTGGCTTGGGCAGTGAAAACGTGCCTAATGTCTTTTTTTAGATCCTGTCAATTTTATACTAATTGGGCCCGTCTGCCAAATGTTTTCATTCAATATTTCTGTTATCCGGGCGCCTGGTCCTTTAATTGTGCATCTTACATATGAATGCAAAGAAGTATGTTGTCATTAAACAGTGTCCATAGGGTAGAAAATAATAGGAATGGCACAACAGTGTTTTGTTAACACATTCCCTTGTGTTCCAAAATAGCATGCTGTAAAGTTATACGAATACTGCTTCATCAAACCGTGTCGTGAATGTGATTTTCTTCGTTTATTTCAGTGGCTCCCAGCTGCTGTTTACCGGGTGATTGGATGCGTCGCCGATGAAAGACATCAAATTCATGTTGGACATCGCCTGCGCCCATGCCAAGATTGTCTCGCTTGTTGAAGTTTGTCTTGTAGTTTATTTGTAGGGTTGACATTTGATATGAAATATAATCTTTGCCTTGGATAGTAATATTCTGCATAAAATGTGTATAAAATAATTGTTGTACGCAGCAAAAATTTTTAACGAAACTTCTGATCAGAGAAAAAGAAAGAAATGAAAGGCGTCGACCCTGCATGTCGCTGGTTATATATTACAGATTTGTTTCTAAATCGTAGTACAGTACTTTATCCGCTCATATCGTTTCAAGGTATTTTATTTATTATGTATATTTATTATTGTGTCAGAAGGAAGTACCCATCAATTCTCAAACAAAAATACGGCACTTTTTAGAGTTCACTTTTTAAAAAAATAATTTTAATGCAAAAAGTATTTTGCTGAAATGATGGATAAAAAACAAAAATGATAGTTATCAATTATTATTATTATTGTTATTATTCGATTTTTAGGTAGAGTACTGCGCGAGCACTATTGATTTTCTAGTTGAAGGTAAAAATTGTCTTTGGGCAAATCTTCAGTTAGCCACTAAGCTGTGCATTTGAAGATATTTTAAATATTTATTTTGAATTAAATTGAATTGAATTGAATTGAATTGAATTCTGAGATTCCGATAAGCAAAATATCTCGACTTCATTATATGGAACTTTTGAGAGACAAACGGTTTCATACAGTGACCGTTAAGTTTGAAAAAAGAACAAGTTGTTAATTTAAAATAACTTACAAACACTGTTCTTCAAGTTATAATGCTTTGGAAATTGGTGGTATAAAAAACGATCCTTTTTTTAATTGTGGATATACGTTTGTGACGCATGTTAAGAATGAACTTACTTTGGTTTCGGTGTTTTGATATTGTGTCTGATCAGTGACAGATACACATGTATTGTGCTTGGAGGGGTCTAAAACAATGTTAAGAAAATGGAACCAGGAGAGAAATAGGGATTTTCACGAAATTACTGCGCATTCGTTATCGCAGTAGGGGAATATATGTTACCAGCGTGATAAAAATTGTCCCTTCTTGGGGCCACCAAAATTTATCAGCATTGCATGAGCTCATTTGTGTGTTGTTCGACTTTTTGCCAATATCGCAAAGCAGAAATGTAAGTGCTCCCCTGGAAAACGTCTTTGTTCATATGCATGAAAATATCTATGTAGAACTGACATTTATTATAACCTTTCCATTTTTAATTTCCAAAATTTATCATGCATTTCAAATTGATTACTTCAGCCATCGCAAAACATTGTTTGGG